CAAAAGAACAAACAAATATGTCTTGGAGAGAATGCAGCCAGAGTGCTCTTTGGAGGCAAGAACGATGAGGCTTCATCGCACATACTTTGGGCATGTTTCTAGGAGGGGCTACTCCTTGGAGAGGGACATGATGGTAGAAAGCGTGAAGGAGAGGAAGACACTTGACCAGGTGGATTGATATAGTGACTGCCACCATGGGCTCTTGTGTGTCAGGAAGTGTGAGGATGGCACAGGATAGAACAAAGTTCAGATCTTTTGTTCATAGGGTGGCTATGAGGTGTACTCAGTTTGACAGCATCTAACAACAACAACAAAACAAAGTATTTTTAAAGTACAGAAAAAAATATCAGCAAATTAAGCCAAAGCACTCAGAAGAATTACAAAACAATTGGTAGATACTGTTTTAAAAACAATATAAGTAGATTTCAGTAAATCAGTAGTCACAAAGTTACAGAAAAATCCAATAGGAAAAATCCAAATTTATGCTCATTTCATGCATTGTTTTTTAGTTCAGCAGAGATGTACTGGCATTTTATACGCATATTCTTACTGAATCCTCAGAGAAAACTATAAATTATCCCATACATTACTCAGCCATTATATGAAAAAGAAAAAGAAAGACACAGGAAATCAACTTCTTCAAGATCAGAATAAAAAGGGAAGACTTCACTTGGTTATTCTCAAGCTGAAAGAACTGAAAAACAAATTCAATCCTCAAATTAGAGATGCAAAATCTTGAATGACCTAAGAAGCATCAAAATAACATAGAGGAATTACAGAGAATCATTTTATGGAAAAAACCTGGATGACACGAAATCTTTCAGGAAATACAATACAATCAAAAGCCAATGGTAATGAAGGAAGAATTTCAAGTGCACTGAAAGTATGGCAAAAAAGAAAGCACCAGGAATCTAAGGAATATCAACTTACAGGTTTCAACTAACAGATGAAGTCCTGGACTTATTTACTAGCTTATGTAAAAAAAAAAAAATTGGAGGACAGATGCAGGCCAACTGCCTGGTAGAGATCCACATTTATTCCCATTACTAAGAAAGATGATCCACCAGAATGTGGCAATTATCAAACAATGTAATTAATATCACATGCAAGCAAAACAGTGTTGAAGAGTATTTAAAAATGGCTAGGACAGTGCTGAGAGAACTATCAGAGGTTCAAGTTGGATTTAGAAGAGGGTATGGCACCAGGGAAATCATTGCTGATATCAGATGGATTCTGGCTGAAAGCAAAGACTACTACTAGAATACTTATTCATGCTTTGACTGTGTGGCTCATAACAAACTGTCTAACTTTGAGAAGAAAGGGAATCCCAGAATACTAAATTGTGCTCATACAAATCTATACCTAGAGCAAGAGGCTCTTGTGTGAACAGAGCAAAAAAACACTAAAAATTTAAAATTTTTTAAATTAAGAAAGGTTTGTATCAGGTTGTTTTTTCTCATATGCCTATTCAATCTATATGCAGAGCAAATTATTCATGAAGCTGGACCCTATAATGAAGAATTTGGCATCAGGATCAGAAGAAGTAATTACTAATAACCTATGTTATGCAGATTCAAAGCTTGCTTGCTGATAGTGACAGGGACTGGAAGGCCTTACTGTAGATCAAAGAATACAGCCTTCAATGTGGATTGCATCTTCATGTCAAGAAAAGGAAAAGTCTCACCACTGGACCAACAGACAACATCATGATAGACAGAGGAAAGATTGAATTTATCAACGATTTAACCTTGCTTAGATCCACAATCAACACCCTCTATATCAGCAGTCAGAAGATCACGAGACATATTATTAAGAGCAACGATGTCAGTTTCAGGACTTAAGTGTGCTTGATTCAAATCATATTCTTTTCAGTCACATGGTATGCATCTAAGAGAGGTACAATTAATAAGGATGACAGAAGATTAAGCTATGTCTTTGAGTTGTGGTGTTGGAGAAGAGTACTGAATAGTCCATGGACTTCCAAAAGAACAAACAGGCTATGTGTTGGAGAAAGTAAAGCTAGAGTGTTCCTTGGAGATAAAGATAATTAAGCTTTGTCTTGCATACATTGGACATGTTGCTAGGAGAGAATATTCCTTGCAGAGGGACATTACGCTTGGAAAAGTGGAGAGTTGATCAAAGACAGGAAGACTTTCAATCAGATAGATAGATTGACTCAGTGACTACAGCAACGCTCTAGTATGTCAGAGATTGTGAAGATGGCACAAGATAGGACAGGATTTAGATCTTTAGTTCATAGGGTCAGTGTGAGTCATACTCGAAGTGACAATAGCTAATAACATCTAGACAACATACATGTCAGTGGCAGAGACAGGTTTCAAACACAGGTCATCTACGACTGACAGTCTTAGTCACAACTCAGACTGTACACACACACACACACACACACACACACATCTCCCCCCATATTTGCCACCTCCCCTGTAATACTGAACAAGCTTTATTTTTTAAAAAAAGATTAACATTTAAGATGAAAGGAGAATAATTTTGTTTTTAAAATTTTTTGTTAAGCTGTCTTCAGATAAGTGAGAGGTTACCCAGGAGACAAGGTAAATAGAATTGAACCTTTTCTTCATTTTTACCATCAATCTTGTTGGTTTCTCAAAGGCTTTTAGAATAAAAAAATATCTCGTTCTGGGGAGAGGTGGGAAGCATATGGGCTACCATTCTAATCCCCTAAGTCATGCTGCGAATATCAGCTGTGAGCAGAAGGAACAAGGATGGGAAAGACTATCAGAGGGAAGGAAAAGAGAGAGAGGAACGTGGCTGTCACTTTCAGCCTTATGTAACGTTCTCTTCAACTCTGCTTCCTTCTTACTCTCGATATAATCTTTTCTGAACCCAACAATGAAGTATCTGTGTGCACACTTTGGGAAAACAACATGATGTACTCATTACAGGATGCCCTAAGCCACAAAATTTAGTGCAGGTATTACTGCTAACTAGGTCCAGAAATGTCCATCAGACACCAAATGATTTCTAGGTAAACTGGGCAATTTCTTTTTTTTTTTTTTATTATTAAATTTTATCAGTTTTAATGAACATTCACAGGGATTCTGGGCTTTCACTCCTTCATTGCCGTACCATTCTCTCCACCCTCCTCCCCAGTTTGTTCTTCTTTCCCGCCATCCGAATGTCCGTTTTAATTGTCCAATTGACTGGGCAATTTCTTAATACCAATGTTCCTTTCTATTGTTAAGCTTTGAGTTTACTATCACTCAGATCAGAAAAAACTTTGGAGGAATGTGGCATCAGGATTGGTGGAAGACTCGTCAACAATCTATGTTATGTACAAGATACAAATTTGCTTGCTGAAACTGAGAAGCACTAGCTGCAGAAAGTCAAGGACTGTAGTCCTCAATATAAATTGAAACTCAACATCAACAAAACAAAGATTCTCACAACTGGGGCAATTGGCAGCACCATGATAGAGATTGAAAAGAGACCGAGGTTGTTAACAATTAGAGCTTGCTTGGCTCTACAATCAACACTCTTGGCACCAGCAGTCAGGAAATCAAAAGATGAATGGTGCTTGGAAAATCTGCAGTCAGAGACCTCTAAAGAGTACTGAGAAGCAACGATGTCAATCTAGAGACTAGGGTGCACCTGATCCAGGCCATGATCTTCACAGTTATTGCTACACATCAGAGAGCTGGACAGTGACTAAGGATGACAAAATAATTGATACCTTTGAGTTGTGGTGCTGAAGAAGAGTCTTGAACATACCATGGACCATTAAAGAACAAATAGGTTTGTCTTAGAGAACATGAAACCAAGTTTCTCCTTGGAGGCTAGTATTTTGGAGTTCAGTCTGTTGGGCATTTGGCCAGGAGGGACAGGTCCTTGAAGAAGGACTTCATTCTTCTTGGAATGATGGACAGAGCAGGAGAGGAATACTCCAGATGAAATGGATTGATATAGTAACTGGGGCAATAGGGGTAGATGTGTTGGAGTCAGTTAGGCTCAGGAAGGGCAGGCATCAGAGCTGCTACATGGGGTCGATATGGGTCACAGGTGACTTGATGGAACATAACAATAACAACAAAGTTCAGATTCAATGATTATCTCATGACAAAAGTTACCATAGTTACTACTACTTAAATAACTCTCCTAAACAACCCCCCTTGTTCCACACAACTATCTACTTTTTCTCTCCCATCGGCTTTACATATATTGCTTAATTCTTTTATTAGACAGTCATTCATTGGAGATAGTAAACATCTTATTTTGAATGGTAAATATTTCTATGAGTTTTGGTATTTTACTGTTTCACCTTTGAGAGATGGGATCCTTTGAGTGGAAAAGAGCAATAAATTGGCAGTGGATGTTATGTACAGTTAGTGTCTGCTAGATACAGGATAAGAGACAGAAGTGGGGTGCTTGAAAAATATGTAGGAGAAATATGAGAAGGGTAGGAAAATCACATGATCAGCCAGTCTTTACTGTATAGATCTCCAGGAATTCTTCCCTATTCAGAAGTTATCCCAAAATACTGATATCCTCAAGTACCAATCAAATGAGCCTCACTGAAGAAAGAGATTGAGTGCTGACCACTTTTAGAGTAAATGCCAGTGGCTCAGGGTGTGATCAACCAGAAGTGACAGATCTGCAATGCTTGTCCAGCACTATCTGGAAGATATGGAAGAAAGGGAAAGAACAGGGCATAGAGAGGAAATCTAGGATCTTGAACTCTAGGTTATTTTTAAATGGTGGAATTTCATTTCAGAGATCTTCTGTCTAAATTATGCCAAGCCTCTCTTCAAATTGTTGAGTACCGCCACCTTGATAGTTATCTAGGGTTAAAGCCTTTTATTTAATACAATAATAATTAAGTTAGAAGCCTTTAGTTAAGATTAGAAACTTCTAACCATGAGAGTGATAAGCTAAAACGGAAATGTTTAATAAATTTGTTTATCACTCATCCTGTATCAAAAGCAAGATAATAAAAACAGGAGTATTGATTCCAGTACTGGACTCACCTCTGTGTACTGCTGGATAACATTTTCAGGCGTGGGGCCCATAAACATATAGAAGTCAAGTATTCCTCCAATGGTCCGGAATGTTATAGAAGGATTTGGGCTCAAAGTGACATCTGAGGGGAGATAAGCAAAGTATAGAATAAGCACAAGTATACTAAGTGGAGAGCTTCATCTCACATACTTCGGGCATATTGTTACAGAGGGGCTATTCCTTGGAAAGGGACTTTATGCTAGGAAATGTGGAGCGACAGAGAAAGAGGAAAATCCTCCACCAGATGGCTGCATCCTCAAATAGTGACTGCAGCAATGGGCTTCAGTGTGTCAGAGATTGTGAGGGTGGTACAGGATAGGACAGAGCTCAGATATGTCATTCATTGTGTCACTATGAGTTGTACTCGACTTGATGGCACTGAACAACAGCAATAACGACAGCCATTTATATGCTACCTAAGCTACCTAGGGACCTGGAAGAAGTGTAACCGTAATGTTCCTTAGGAGCAAGAAAGTTGAGACATCTCCATGTCATTAGGCTGGGCCAATCCCTGAAGATATATATCATGCTTGATAAATCAGAGGATCAGTGAAAAAGAGGAAGGCCCTTAAAAAAGATTATTAACATAGTAGGTGAAACAGTTTGCTGAAACTGAGGAGGACCAGAAATGCTTGCTGCAGAGGGTCAAGGACTGCAGCCTTCAGTAGGGATTGGTCTCAATGTCAAGAATACAGATTCTCACCACTGGACCAATTGGCAGCATCAGGATGGATGGTGAAAAGATTGAGATTGTTAACAAATTTAGTCTGCTTGGCTCCACGGTCAACACTCTTGGCACCAGTAGCCAGGAAATGAAAAAAATATTGTGATGGGAAAGTCTGCTGTAAGGGACCTCTACAGGGTACTGAAGAGCAATGGTGTCACTCTGGAGACTAAGGCGCATCTGATACAGGCCATGGTCTCTGCAATCACGTTATGTGTCAGAGAGTTGGACAATGACTAAGGAGGATAGAAGGAGAAGTGATGCCTTTGAGCTGTGGTGCTGCAGAAGAGTGTTGAGGGTACCATGGACTGCTGGGAAAACAAACAGATTCATCCTGGAGAGGGTTAAACCAGGCTGCTCCTTGGAGGCAAGGATTCTGGGGCTTCATCTGACATACTTTGGACAGGCTGTAAGGAGGGACAGGTCCTTGGAAAGGGACATCATGCTTGGAAGAGTGGAGGGACGGCGCAGGAGGGGAAGACCCTCTATGAAGTGGATTGATTCAGTGACTAGGGCAATCGGGATGGGTGTGTCAGAGGCAGTGCGGTTGGCACAGGATAGAGCAGGGTTTAGAGCTGTTTTACATAGGGTTGCTATGAGTCACAAAGGACTTGATGGCACATAACAACAACAAGAAGAAGGTGAAACAATGGGTTTAAGTACAGCAGACAATGTGAAGTTGATGACTGAAGCAGTCTTCTGTTCTGTTGTATATATGGTCTGTAGGGCTGCTAGCTAGGAATCAGAGCAGACTCAAAGATACTTAACAATATAACATAACAAGCAGGCTAATTAATTGTGTAGAATTATTCATAGCTGTTACAATAGCATTTAATTATCTTCCAGAATTTGCCAATTCTGCACATTTTTATATTTTCTTTATTAAAGTTTGCCAAACCAGTTATCCATTCTTTTTACACATAAATACACACACACACACACACACACACGCACACACACACATCTCTTTCTAAATTTGGGCATATCATCAGGCTGGGCCAATCCCTGAAGACATCATACTTGATAAATCAGAGGCTTTGAAGGCAGATGAGTAGCACTGACAACCTTGCTTTGCTGAGACAATATGACAGATTCAGTGACAATGCATTACAATGAAATGTTTACAATGAGATATATTTCTTACTCAAGTGGCTTCTGATTTCCCAAGTTACATATTTTTGCAGCTATGGTCAAAACCGCATATAGTAATATATCTCAGTTTGTTTATGTTTCACTGGAAAATTGTTCATGTGGAAACAAAGTACTAAATTGTAGACTTTTTTCCTTACCCAATTTTTTTAGATAGTAATTAATAAGCATTTTGAAGGCGATGAAGAAAAGAAAAATTAACATGTGAATGGTGCATTTGCTGCTTTATAATTTAGCCAGATAATCACCTTGGGCATTGGAATTCAGGAAGAGAACACCATGAGCATTGAAATCATGCTCTATGCACATATAAAAAGGATGAACTCCATAGAGATTGCCAAAAGCCTGCAAAAGAAAGAAATATTATGGTTTTGATGATTTATTATCATTGTGTGATCCCATCTCAGTGAGATCTAACATAAGTCAATGACATGCAAAAAACCCCTCAAAAACTCAACTATAATTTACAGTTATGAAAGCAAAAGCAAAGTGGTAAAAAAAATCATGACTGTATAAACATTTTTTAATTTGTGTATATGACTTATTAAATTTAAGTCAAAATTGTGAAAGCTAATACATTGCATCTTATCAAAAAGCCATTATTCTCACTCAGTCCTTCCCATCTCCCCTCAATAAACAGAGTTGTTTAATAAAGGATTGATTCTATATTCACACATTACCACTGGTGATTGATCTCGAGAAAACATTCCATATTTAACAAAATTCATGTTATGTTTAAAGGATGAATGTTCATGTTCTCCAAATCCATAGATTGTAGAGGATGGAATAATGGCCTTTATTCGAAGAAACTGGTTAGAAAAAACCAGGCCTCCAAAAGTGGTTTCCCATCTGTGCCAGACAGAGAAGCAGAAAGACAATGACTGTTAGTTCTTAAAAAGGAATTATTTTCTCCAGTTACTGCTAGATAAAAGGGCAAAAATCTGTTAGCTTGAAAGGTGGACAAGAAAAATAAAGACAGGGCATATGAAGATCTAAAACAAATACAAGAAATTCTTGTGTACTAAATATTTACTAAGTGTCCCTGTTTTGGGTACATTTGTTGTTGTTAATTGCTATCGATTTGAGCACAACTCATAGTGATCCTATGAACAAAAGGTCTGATGCCTTTCTATACCTACCATCATTTCTCAAAATCCGTAGTTTCCAGAGGCATGTTGTTGAGGAAGTGGATGCCACCCTGCTTCTAATGTATGTACATTGGCTATGGCATTTTGTTTCAGCCTCACAATAACCTCTGAAGAGGCATCATGCATTTACTACATAAATAAACCATGTTATATAATTATGAAAGATTCATAACTTGGACAAATCAAGAAGCTCATGTGGAACTTGTTCACAGACCAAGAAGACTGTTATAGTGTGTCATCGAATCAGAAACTTATAGCAGATATTGCAGTGAGTTTTCAGAGGTAGTAAATGACAGAGGAGGATTCTGCCCATCCTTCTCCCAAAGAGCGGTTGAGGGATTTGAATCATATTCCTTCCATATTACAGCACAGCTTCTTACCACTGAACTACCCGAGCTCTCTTAAGAGGGACTGTTGCTGTAGCAGTGTACCATTGAGTTGGAAGCAACCCACAGCTGATGCTCCAGCTTATTAATCAATGTATTGGGCAATTAACTGCATGGGAGGAGATTGCCTGTCTTTCTCCCATGGAGCGGCTGGTGGATTCGATCCTTACACCTTTGAGTTGGTGGCACAACTTCACAGGCCATAATTCTTGGTGATACAGAGGATCAGTGGAGAAAAGAGGAAGACTTTCAATAAGATGAATTGGTTCAGTGGTTACAACACTGGTTTCAAACATCTCAGAGGCTATGAGAATGGCACAAGCTCAAGAATTGTTTTGTTCTATTTTATACAGAAAGTCTACAAAGTAGATATAATACCATGCAACCTAGCAACAGCATGATTAGACAAAGTCTGTGAAATATTTTGTTAAACGAAATTAACAATACTTCTCCTTTACATGACAGTTTCACAAATTTTAGTGAGGAACAAGACACAGTGACTCTCCAAGGGTGACTCTTGCAAGAAATGGCATTAATTATAGAACAGAATTCAGGTCTTTTGTTCATAGGGTTGCTATGTATTCAACTTGACAACACTTAACCTCTCCTAAGTGAAATTAATGTTACTACATTTTGGAGGAATATTCTTCCATATTGTACATCACTCCTTGTCAATTTGCTGTACTGAGGTACTCTGGGTTTGCTGTGATGCTGAACCTGTGCCATTGGGTTTCAAATACCATAATGGTTTCCTAATGTGGACAGTATTTGGTGGAGCTCTCAGCTGTACAGCAGGTTTGGAAACAGGAGTGGCATCCACTTCTTAAACCACAAGGCTATGAAAACTCTCTGAACTTGGAGAAATTAATAGAAAGGCATTACATCTTTTGTTCATGGAGTTGCTATGAGTCATGCTCAACTCAAGGGCAATCATTAACAGCAACAACAACAACAATTGACTACAGAAATCTTTTGATCAGGGCACATTGTGGATGCCATGGTTAATTCATTTAAGGGGAGAGGAGAGAACTGAGGATGGTACAGTATGGACAACCACGGCAGTGGAAGGACGTCCATGCTCGTTTTGTATGCTTGCCCTCAACACATTCCTCTGCTGCTTTCCAAATCCCAGGCCTATCCCACAAGAAAGAAGGTGGTGTTATATTCTTTGCTGGAATGTCTTCAATGTTGGAGGTGATTGCTGCTAAGTAACCTTACCATCTTCAGAGTAATAAAAAATTTTTTTCTTTCTCTCTCATTTAAGGAACATTTCTTGAGTGCTTATAAAGTACATGCACTATCCTGGGAATTAGAAGAATGCAAAGAAGAGTAAGAGTAATTACAACAGTATGGGGAGCGACTTTACACATGGACCTGACAAGATGGACAGTATAGGAATCAGAATGATTGTGTTTGTGGAAGGAACCTTTGTAAAACTCAGTATCAGCAGTCAAAACAAGGCCAGGTGCCGACAATGGAAGGGATTATCAGTCGTGTACAAGTACAAATTGAGGCTAAAGAAAATGAAATAAAGCCCATTAGAATGAGAATATGATCCTGAATCTATCACATCTGAATTTAAAAATCATCTTAAGAACTGGTTTGGGGCCTTGGACACTAATGATCGACGACCAAATGAACTGTGGGATGACATCAAGAATATCATCCATGAAGAGGGCATAAGGTCACTACAAAGACAGAGGAGAAAGGGAAAAAAACCAGAATGTTTTTCAGAAAACACACTGAAAAATTGCACTGAAGAAGCCAAAGCAAAGGGAAAAGATGTTGAAGTGAAAGAGCTGAACTGAAGATTTCAAAGGACAGGTAGATAAAGCAAAGTATTATAAAAGAATATCCAGAGAACATTCCTCAAGTTGAAAGAATAGGAAAATATGTCAAGCCTAGAGTTGAAATATTTAGAGAATCTAAGGACGAAATCTTGAATGATCCAAAAAGAAAAGAAGCCAAAAGGACTACACAGAATCACTGTACCAAAAATAATTGGCCTACATTGAAATCAAAAAGGCCGAACTCATTCAGCATTTCTTTTTTTTTTTTAATTGGTTTTTTATGATCCCATTTATTTAAAAATAAAGATTACATATTTGTTTGTATATGAGTAAAAAGTTATGAATCCGACATAAGAAACTGTTAAGAGGTTATCTCTGGGCAACTGCAGGGAGGCCGGGATGAAGCAAGGAGAGGCCATTTTCACTTTATGGTTTTTAGTCCTATTGGTACTCAAGGTGCTTGATACTTTCTAGTAGTTATAGTGGGTCCTTCCCATTTGTTCTATTTTCTTAAAATTCTCTAGTACGCTATATGCTTAAAGATGACAAAATTGTATTTAAATGAGATGGTTGCTAGACATTTTTCTTTTTCAAACTCAATGAAAATCACACATAGCCACTCTTAGCTCATTAGTGTTTTGATGAGGTTCTTTTAGTTTACATATAAATTAATATATAGTACTATCTCTTCATAAATGTGCTTATAGGTGGAGATCACATTGTAGCTACAATGCTGTATCCTGCTTTTCTTCTCAGTAAAAGTATGTTAAAGTAAGATGCTGAATTAGGACAGGAGTCCTCACCTTACCAAGAACCACACTTAGGACTGCCTGGGATTTTGGGGGGAGTCCATCTTATCCACAGTAATATGTACATATACGTACCTAACTACATACAATGTCACAGTCATTTATTGATATTATTCTCATTCACTCGCAGATATTCCAAGAGCGGATTCATGAAGGTATTGTTAGTAAGACATAATAATGGGAGGAGGGTGGAAAGAGGTATTTAACTTACAGAAGAACTGACATAGACTGTTGGACTAGAACATCATTGTAAGCTGGACCACGTTCAGCATTTCTTAAGCTCAAGGAACTGAAGAACAAATTCAAACCT